GGACCTGACATCGGCGTAAATCCGACTCTCGATCTAAAAGAACGCGCTAATCGGGCCCGCTAATCGATCGATCGGGCTCACTCGTGCATTTCGCTTCGCTCGACGCGACGCCACGTCGCGCGATTCTGGAGGAATTCTTTCGGGTTGCGGCGAGAAACGCGCCAGCGACCATCGACCACCGTTCTCCAATGGAACGAGAACGTTGCGGCGCGAGTGAGTCACCGCTATATTACGACCGAAGGGGGGCACGGAACAATTGTGACATGCGCCGCTAAATGCTTAACGGGTCGCCCTGGTAAATCCAATTAGAGCATTTCTTTCGCCGCGACTAGCCACATATCCGGCACGATTCGTCATCTCGCGAATACGATCTGCGCCGCGAAGACCGCGCAGATAAGTACGTTAATTCAGAAAGAAAAACTTTAATTACAAGATGATATATTTTCTGTAATTTCATATTCTGAGTGAAAACTTGTAGACGATAAATGTGCCTTTTCTAAAGTGGGTTTTATGAATCTCAAGTCTAGCTATTCTAACTTATTCTAACTTTTTTCCTCTTCAATCAAGAGGAAGATAAATGCTTTCTTCAAAGGATTGGAGGGTCAGATGAGGGCCTGAAAATCGTGCTTGTTCTTTCACAATTTTTTATGACAAACTGAATGAATATGGGAAAGTGTTATTTTGACGTATATTTATACAACAAATAAAGAGAAGAAAAATATAATTTTAATGATCAAATATTCAATATAAGTATATGGTACATGCAGTTAAAATATATTTCGTTTTTCTCTCAAGATCGTCATTTTGCAGTAATATCTTGATTCTCGGTGATTCAATTAAACTGAATTTTAGGTAGAACATTTTCGTAAGCCTGTCGTTATCGTGTGAATCACTGTAATAGAAATTGAGTAAAAGTTAACAAAATTCCAAAAATCTTAATAGAATATTATTAAGTTTTAGAGTTTTTTTAACCACTCTCGGTGGTTCAATTAACCCATTAAGGCCCGAGAGAAAAGGATAGGCTTTCAAAAACTATCTAAATTAGAGCAAAACGTCGAAATTTGTTAAAAAGTGAAAAAATGTGTGTTGGATTTCAAAATTCAAGACGACGGACCAATATGTCGGCCCAAAAATTTGAAATTTTGACCTATTTGAGTGAAAATTTGTATAGGGGAGGTTTGGGGTTCGCTGAGTATGAATATGTACTTATTTTTTCAAAATTCGTAATGGCGGATCCAATATGGTCGCCCAAAAATGCAAAAATTTGACATAGTTTTGTTTGGCGAAAAATCCAACCAAATTATAAGCTACTTTTCGAAGGTGTTTGTTTTGGGGCAAAACGTCATACTTTAGCAGACTGTAGTAGAAAAATGGTTTTTTGACTTTAAAAATCAATATGACGGCCAAAAATTTTTAATTTTGATTTATTTTCATGAAAGTACGTTTTGAAAAATTTTGAAAAAATAAGTGCATATTCATACTTAGCTAACCCAAAACCCTATACGAATTTTCACTCAAATAAGTCAAAATTTCAAATTTTCGGGCCGACATTTGGTCTGTCATGTTGAATTTTGAAATCCAACACAAATTTTTGTTCACTTTTTAACAAATTTCGACGTTTTACCCTAATTTAGATGGAAAGCCTATCCTTAGCGGTTTGCTCTTGGGCCTTAATGGGTTAAACTGAATTTTAGGTAGAAAATTTCCGTAAGCTTGTCGTTATCGTGTGAATCACTGACAAACTCGTGAAAATATTTAATTTTGAAATATTAATATTTTTACTATAAAAGAACTGAAAATTTAATAATATTCAATTAAGATATTTGCAATTTTGCTAACTTTTACTCAATTTCTATTATAGTGGTTTATACAATAACGACAAACTTACGGAAATTTTCTACCTAAAATTCAGTTTAATTGAATCACCGAGAGTCAAAATATTACTGCAAAATGACGATCTTGAAAAGAAAAACCAATTATATTTTAGCTGCATGTATCATACACTTATATTGAGTATTTTATTATCAAAATTATTTTTCTTTTCTTTATATGTTGTATAAATATACTTTATATGTTGTATAAATACACGTCAAAATAAAACTTTCGCATATTCATTCAGTTTATCATAAAAAATTGTGAAAGAACAAACACGATTTTCAGGCAATCTGATCTTCCAGTCCCCTTAAGCGCAATACAAGAGACGCGAGGAGCAAGGTAATATTTTGCTTGTTTCCCGGGTTTGGACTGCGTCTTCTTTATATTTGGTTCTAATATTGTGAACATTTCAGTTTACTTCTTCAGGAAACGGGGCGACCTGAAACTTAGTTGATGAAGAAGTGAACTGAAATGTTCACAATATTAGAACCAAATATAAAGAAGACGCAATCCAAACCCGGGAAACAAGCATAATAGATGCATCTTGCTTGTCGCATTTTTCGTATCGCGCGTAAGAGAACATTCCGCTTCAAGTGATCGTATTCCTCTTGATTCAAGAGGAAAATGTTAAAGTAATATTAGTTAGAATGATAGTAGATTTCAGAGTCCACTTTTCATTAGAAGATAATTCTCTTCTAATCTATGTGGCAAAATGATACTCATTTTTGTTTAATTTGATCTAATATGCAAGCACACAACATCACACATCGCCCCTACAGGTCATCTACCATATCGCGCGTGATCATTCACCAATCTTCTTTAATTAATATCACGACTGGAGCTGAAGATATCTGAATAATTTATTACCCGAATTATCCGAGATAATTACTATCCGATAATTCAAATCCGGAACATCAAATTATTCAGAAATCCGGATTCTAATATTTGAATACTAATATCTTAAGAATCTTAATACTTAATATCTGGATCTGCATTTGAATGTTAATATACGAATTTTAATATTCGAAAAGTTATTCAAATCTGCAAATAGGTTCTAATTATCTATTACAAAAAATTGAAGTTCTTTTTCTCATGCCTCTGGTGATATGCAATAAAAATAAAAAATAAGCGTAGGTCCGTAAACAAGTTATTAACAAATTATATTCAGTTTCAAGATTTAAACTTATGTTTTAAAATATATAATTGCTACTAAAATACCTTTGGATACTGAGGACGACTTCGGTTACCCGCTCAAAACAATGTGATATACAACTCGTAAAGTTTGTTTACATGAATGTTCGTCAGTTGCGTTCCAGGCGCTTGGCGCGGTTTTCAGAGATGTGACTTTAATTTATATTAAAATCCAGATTATCTCCGGATATTCGATTTGTTCGAATATTCATATTTGACTATCCAAATTATCTCGATAATTCAAATACCCGAATTTGAGTTGTCGAATAATTTAATAAATAGGAAATTCGGAAAAACGGATATCCGAAAATCCGAATCCTTTTTTAGTCCTAATCTGGACTATTACTGCGAATATCGCAAAATGGTACAGAACTTTTTTTATGTTCACCTCAGTCCGTTCTACGTTCTTAGAAAAATTCCAGAGGAGAGTCTGGGACACCCTATATACATTTTTTTGGGTGCGCGCGTATGATAGCGTGAATAACGACGATATTATGCGAAAGCGCTCCGTTATCGGCCTGTCTCGCCAGTGTAGTCCGGGAACGATTGACTTGTAAATAGACGTAAACACGAAGTATCTGCGAGATTATCCGCCATCCGACATCGTCGTCACGGTCTGGCTGCTTCTCGAGTATCGAAGCGTCTTTTTCCTTCATTTTTTTAAATTTCATTTCTTTTTTACAATACTTCCAAAGGAGGAAACGGCTCTTCCCGATGCGCCGATATCTCCTTTGCGCCGGCCGTAGGTGTCACGCGCTGTAAATAAATGTAAGTGTGTCAAGCAGAAGGTAGAGATAAATGTGGGTATTGTGAATGTCGCGTCGAACGCGATGATACGTCAAGAATGACAGCCTTTAGAAGCGAAAAGTTTGTCCGAGAGGTCAACAGGAATCCATTGACCTAAGATACACCGCGTACGAATAAAATTCTTTAGGATTGCCGAATCCTAAAGGAGAGTCAAATAGAATAATCGAAGAATAGTCGAATAGTACCCTTGAAATGGCACCGTGTACGTTTAAAATTAGCAGACATTAATGTTAAACATTCACGTGATCTCTGATACTACTAAACTTAATTTATATACATTGTTTTTATGTAAAACATATTAACTATTTTGCATTAATATATCTGATGAAAAAAATTAAAAAATAAGGATGTCGTCACTGATTCGCTGATGTACATTCCGTCAATATCTATCACATATCAACTGTTGTCGCATCGTTTTCAACGATTTTTTGGACACTACAAGACTAATGCATTATAAATATGATGCTATGAATATATTATCAGAGTTGGTTAGAATCATTGATTCAGGTTGAATCATTGAAGTTAAACCATTAACGTCCAAATATGCTGAAATTTTATGTTGATTTGAGCCATTTATTTTACTACGGAAATGAGATCTGTTGTTTATAAAGAGTACCATTCCTATGCTTATACCAATTTCGATGCTTGCAACTTGTACCGTTCGAAAGAAGATCTTCAGATAAGAATATGGGAATATGCAAAATGTTATACTATGATTATTACCGAATAGATAGTATAAATAATGGTAAGAGTGCTGTGAGAAGAAATGTGTGGTATTAGGAAACATTTTTACTACAAACGCAATCACGGAAATAAAAACTGACACGCAATTTTTAATGTGCTACATAATAAAAAATTCACCCTTTACTAAAAAAATCTATAATACATTTATCAGAATAGTAAATATATAGCCTAATAATTTATATTGTTAATTTATATTGTTAATAATTTATATTGTTAATGATTTATATTGTTAGTAATTTATATTATAAAATTAATACTGTTTACAATGACAGTTGTCATCTTCACATTAGAATTCTTCAGCGGGAGGCGTCGGAAACATAGGACATAAGTTCTTAAAGAAAGCTAAATAGTTATTACGGTAGGAAACAGAATCGTTTTCAAAATCTCTATATGGCATAGTCGAGCTGAATTTATTTTCACCATCATACATTAAATTTAAAGCTCTTGATTCACCTATAATTAAAGATAGATAAATCTATATATATGTGTGTGTGTGTGTGTGTGTATATTTATTAATGTATTTATTTCTTATAATATAAGATGATAAGACGAATCAAATTCTGTATCAGTCCTCAAAAGATGAAAAATATCAGCGTGTATCACTTGGTAGCTTGTAACGTTCGAAAGAAGATCTTCACATAAGAAGATAAGAATTTGCAAAATATAATACTATGATTATCACCGAATGGACTAAGAAACATTTTTACTACAAATGCAATCACGGAAATAAAAACTGACACGCAATTTTTAATGTGTTACATAATAAAAAATTCACCCTTTACTAAAAAAATCTATAATACATTTATCAGAACAGTAAATATATAGTGTAATAATTTACATTTAAAATTTATATTGTTTACAAAATCATTGTCATCTTGATATTACATTTGTATACTGGAAGGCGGCCATGTCATAGAAACGAAGTTATCAAAGACAGCTACATACTTATTACGGTAAAAAACAGAATCGTTTTCAAAATCTCTACATGGCATAGTCGAGCTGAATTCATTTTCGTCATTATGTATTAAATTTAATAATCCACCTAAAGCTCTTTCTATGTTACTTATATTTAGATTAGATTTAAATTTCGATTCAGCGGTTACAAGAAATGGACAGTTTTGATTCTGTGATACTATAAGCGATGTTGACCACATTTCCACATCACTAAAATCTGTTTGAAATCCTACTATCACATTTGGCTGTATATAATATTCACTGTTCACGTAAGTGTCGTACATCATACCATAAGATTCTAAAGTAAACCTTTGACACATGTTATCGCATCTAGAACAAACTTCGATATTATTAGATTCGTTGTTTAATTCCAACCCTATTAATACAAGTTTCAATTCCCTTGTTTCATATAAAAAATGCAGGAGAAGTTCCCAAGCGGCGACATATTTTTTATCAACTGAACTTGCCGCTATTATATGTACAACACAGAAAGACCTTTGTTTATCCAAAAAATTTAACAGATTTAAATTTCTCATTTGATAATACAATGTTAACGGTGCTGACACGTAATCAGAACAGATATGTTCTTCCACAGTAAAAGTATCCGGATCATTTATGTTCCTTTCCTCTCGTATATATTGTAGAATAAATGATTTCATGTCAACAACGGGTTTATCTTCGATGGGACACTTAACAAGTTCGTTGTTATATGTATAATCATACGGAAAATTCGAAGCTAAATTAAAACATAATTGAAGTCCATCGCAACTAAAATAATGTTTGTTTTGAAAAGCTTCCATATGTTCAATGCAATAGTTGCTGGAATAGCACCTCCGGCAAGTTTTAAGATCAATCTGTTGATGACAAATAAGACACGACTTTGCGAAGAGAATTATTTGCTTTTCATACGGCTCCAGATCACGTGATAATTTGAACTTAACCAAATTCATGAATTGTTTTCTTGACACGATCCATTCCTCTTGGTTGAGACGACGTCTAAAGTGGAATGATTCGTTACTGGTATGCTGAATTTGATTTATACTATTGCACATATCTATATGCTGCTGTCTGTGCAGCTGTTGATGTCTCATGCTGCAGTAATAAATCATGCCGCACATGTTACACGGTATACTGATGGCAGGTACTCTTTTACAAATATGACAAATATTAGGATTAAAGAATTCATTACAATGTCTATAATATGTTATTAGATCAAGTTCTGTAGATGTCCTCGCTGTAGGTGTACTCTCTGCGCACATGGTGATGTTTCAGTGTAAATGATGATTAAAGACCGATTATTTGTAATATTAACTTAGAATTAATATGCTGAACTCGATATTTCTTAGGGAGGATTCGTCTCAAATAACAAAATCCTACATGGTTCAGATGTATACTTGGCAACTGCTCAGAGGACACTAACTCTAACCAATACTAAGGAGTATATTTATAAGTGTACTGTGCGTCCCGAGAAATGTTGTCAGAATTGTATCTAAGGATATAGGGAACCACGAATAGTCGTTACCGAGTAAAATGTTTCGTTTCAGCACACACGCATATGTAATTAGTGTATTCTTTATTAAAAATATTAATTATTTATTCATAGAAATAATAGATCTTATATATTATTTACAATAATATAAAAAGTAATATTGCTATCGTATATAAGAGTTTGAAGTGGCTCAGAGAATGGCGTCTATTAATCAATTAAGTTCCGTGATATATAGTTAAAAAAATTGTTATAAATGAACATATAAACTGCTTTAGTTTCGCTCCGTGATCTCCGCAAAAACAAGTTTATTTTCGTTACGGTACGACTTATAACGAAAATTTCTCGCAAGATGTTTATGTTCTATGTTGCTCTAAGCTGCTTCAATTAGACTATTAAAAGCAACGGTTAGTTCTCATTTAGTAAAGATAATATTAATTGCGACATTGTTTGTCAACTCCTAAACTTCATTTAACATCCTATAACTATATTTAGTCGCATATACAACTCATTGTCCACATGATTATAGTACAATTTACAATGACATAATTATGATACAACATATAATAATATTTAAAACCCTGAAAAAACTCCTATAAAGTACGGTATTTTAATCTTCCATGTACAATTTATTTTGGAATTTACAGTCCGGGTTTTATAGATCCAACATTCTAAACTAGGAGTTAATAATTTAGCTAATTTTTACTCTAAAATAAGCCATATTAAGCATGCTAGTCATACGGTAATTCTATATTTTAACAATAATACTCATATAATACTTCGACGTTTAGATTGAACCTAATAAGAGCCAATAGCAGTTTCTTGCAATAGAGACTATGATTGTATTAAAAAATTTCTACATGACAATAGCAGTTCTTGACTAATAATAGTTAAGGTAACTGTAAGTACAATTGTCAAGTACGAATATCACGCCATGCAGTTATGCAAATTTATCAACCAATAATAAAATAAATGCCATTGTATAAATATAATTACCTTTTCTATTGTTTCAGTGTACGTGACATCATTCCATAGATTTCACACAAATTTTTTCCTTGGTTAGGTTTACTCATCCAAATTAGAAGAATGATAAATATTTCATTCAGCGTCCATATTTAAGAAATATTTAATTACTCTGTGATTCTACTTAAATATACAACAAACTACGATTGTTTATTAATAATGGAATGTCACCAAGAATTGGATATTCTTCATTGAATATTTCTACTATATTTAGTTCGTACCGTTGGAAAGGAAACTTTCAAATAAGAAGATTGAAATTTACAAAATGTTATACTATGATTATTAACAAATTCATAATATAAATAATGGTAAGAGAGCTATCAGAAGAAATATGTGGAATTAGGAAACATCTTTGCTGTAAAGGGAATCACGAAAATAAAAACTGATACGCAGTTTCAATGTGTTACTTTATAAGAAATACATCCTTTATTAAAAAAAATCTACAACACATTTATCAGAACAATAAATATATTGCCTAATAAGTTACATTTAAAATTTTCAATGTTATTGTTATTGTTTACAATGTTATAGTCATCCTGATATTACATTTGTATACTGGAAGACGACCGCATCAAAGGAAATATGGTAAAAAATACAGCTACATATTTATTACGGTAGAAAACAGAATCGTTCTCAAAATCCCTACATGGCATAGACGAGCTGAATTTATTTTCGTCATTATGTATTAAATTTAATAATTCACCTAGAACTCTTTCTGTGTTACTTATGTTTTGATCGGATTTAATTTTCGATTTAGCAGTTACAAGAAACGGACAGCGTTGATTCCGTAATTCTATAAGCGATGCAGACCACATCTCCACATCACTAAAATCTGTGTGAAATCCTAATATCACATTTGGTCGTATATAATATAGACTGTTTACATAAGTGTGGTACAACATACGGTGAGATTCGAAACTGAACTTTTTATATTTGAATTTGCATCTAAAACAAACATTGATATAATTACATTCGTCGTTTAATTCCGATCCTATTATAACAATTTTTAAATGATTTATTTCATCTAAAAGATGCAGGAGAATTTCCCATGCAGGGAGGTATTCTTTGTCAACCGAGCTTGCCGCTATTATATGTACAACACAAATAGACCCTCTTTCAGTGAAGATATTTAATAGATTTAAATCTTTCATTTTATAGTACAATGTTAACGGTCCTGACACGTATTCAGAACAGATATATTCTTCCAAAGTATCCGATTTATTTACATTCCCTTCCTTTCGTACATATTGCAGAATAAATGTATTCATATCAGGAATGGGTTTATCCTTATCGGGAAACAGAACAAAATTTTTGTGACATTTATTGTAATCATGCGGAAGTTTCAAAGCTAAATCGAAATATAACTTAAGTCCATTACAATTGAAATAATGTTGGTTCTGAAAAGCTTCTCTGTGTTCATCACAATAGTTGCTGGAATAGCACCTCAAGCAAGGGGAAAGATCAATCTGTTGATGACAAATAAGACACGACCTTGCGAACAAGATCATCTGCTTCTCATAAGGCACTAGATCGCGTGCCAATCTCGACCTAACGTAAGTTTTTAATTCTTTTCTTGTTTTGATCCATTCTTCCTGGTTGAAACGAAGTGTAATGTTGAAACGTGCTTTATATATATATTGAATACGTTGTAAACTTTTGCACATATCCATATGCTGGTTTTCGTATTTTTGTTGATGATATTTGCTGCAGTAACATATCATGTTGCACTTGCACACTATGCGGATGATAGTACTTTTACAAACATGACAAATATTAGGATTAAAGAAGTTATTACAATTTTTATAGGCTCTTTCTGGGTCTTCTTCTGAAGATGTATTCGCTGCAGATGTACTCGCTGCGCACATAGTGATGTTTCAGTATAATTGAGAATTACAGACAAGTTACTTGTAATATTAACTTAGAATTAAAATGCTGAACTCAATATTTCTTGGGAGAATTCGTCTCAAATAACGAAATTCTACATGTATAGTACAGTTGTATACTTGGCGACTGCTCAGAAGATACTAATCCTAACCAGTATTAAGGATTGTATTTATAAGTGTCCTGTGCGTCCTATCAAATATCTGAATTGTATCTAAGGATATAGGGAACCATGAATATTCGTTACCGATTAAAATATGTAATTAGTACATTGTTTATTAAAAATATTAATTATTTATTTAAAGAATAATAGATCTTATATATTATTTACAATAACGTAAAAAATAATATTGCAATCATATACAAGAGTTTGAAGTGGCTAAAAGAATGGCGTCTATTAATCAATTATGTTCCGTCATATATAGTTAAAAAAGTAGTTATAAAAGAACATATACACTGCTTTAATTCTTCTCTATGATCTACGCGATGCAAGTTTATTTTTATTATTGTACGATACGAAGGACATATATATCGAACATTTCTGGCAAGCTATTTATGTTCTCTGTTACTCTAAGCTGCTTCAAATAGACTATTAAAAGAAACGGTTAGTCCTCATTTAGTAATGATAATATTAATTCCGACATTGTTTATCAACTCCCAAACTCCTAAACTTCATTTAAGATCCTATAATCACATTTAGTTGCGTATACAACTCATTGTCCACATAATGATGCTACAATGATCTATGATGATATAATTATGATACAACATATAATAATATTTAAAACCCAGAGAAAACTCTTATAAAGTACGGTATTTTAATCTTCCCTGTACAATTTATTTTACAGTCCGGGTTTTACAGATCCAACATTCTAAACTAGGAGTTAATAATTTAGCTAATTTTTACTCTAAAATAAGCCATATTAAGCATACTAGTCATACGATAGTTCTATATTTTAACAATAATACTCATATAATACTTTGACGTTTAGATTGAACCTAATAAGAGCCAATAGCAGCTTCTTTCAATAGAGACTATGATGGTATTAAAACATTTCTACATGACAATAGCAGTTCTTGACTAATAATAGTTAAGGTAACTATAAGTACAATTGTCAAGTACGAATATCACGCCGTGCAGTTATGCAAATTTATCAATCAATAATAAAATAAATGCCATTGTACAAATATAATTACCTTTTCTATTGCTTCAGTGTACGTGACATCATTCCACAGACTTCACACGAATTTTTTCCTTGGTTAGGTTTACTCATCCAAATTAGAAAAATAATAAATATTTCATTCAACGTCCACATTTAAGAAGTATTTAATTACTCTGTGATTCTACTTAAATATACAACAAACTACAACTGTTTATTAACAATGGAATGTCACCAAGAATTGGATATGGTATTCTTCATTGAATATCTCTACTGTATTTAGTTTGTACCGTTGGAAAGGAAACTTTCAAATAAGAAGATTGAAATTTACAAAATGTTATACTATGATTATTAACAAATTCATAATATAAATAATGGTAAGAGAGCTATCAGAAGAAATATGTGGAATTAGGAAACATCTTTGCTGTAAAGACAATCACGAAAATAAAAACTGATGTGCAGTTTCAATGTGTTTCTTTATAAGAAATACATCCTTTATTAAAAAAATCTACAACACATTTATCAGAACAATAAATATATTGCTTAATAAATTACATTTAAAATTTTCAATGTTATTGTTATCGTTTACAATGTTATAGTCATCCTGATATTACATTTGTATACTGGAAGATGACCACATCAAAGGAAATATGTTCAAAAAGACAGCTACATACTTATTACGGTAGAAAACAGAATCGTTCTCAAAATCCCTACATGGCATAGACGAGCTGAATTTATTTTCGTCATTATGTATTAAATTTAATAATTCACCTAGAACTCTTTCTATGTTACTTATGTTTTGATCGGATTTAATTTTCGATTTAGCAGTTACAAGAAACGGACAGTCTTGATTCCGTAATTCTATAAGCGGTGCAGACCATATTCTCACATCACTAAAATCTGTTTGAAATCCTAATATCACATTTGGCCGTATATAATATTCACTGTTTACATAAGTGTGGTACAACATACGGTAAGATTCGAAACTGAACTTTTTATATATGGATTTGCATCTAAAACAAACATTGATATAATTACATTTGTCGTTTAATTCCGATCCTATCATAACAATTTTTAAATGATTTATTTCATCTAAAAGATGCAGGAGAATTTCCCATGCAGAGAGGTATTCTTTGTCAACCGAGCTTGCCGCTATTATATGTACAACACACATATACCCTTTGTCAGTGAAGATATTTAATAGATTTAAATCTTTCATTTTATAGTACAATGTTAACGGTCCTGACACGTATTCAGAACAGATATATTCTTCCAAAGTATCTGATTTATTTACATTCCCTTTTTTTCGTATATATTGCAGAATAAATGTATTCATGTCAGCAACGGGTTTATCCTCATCGGGAAACAGAAAAAAATTTTTGCGACATTTATTGTAATCATGCGGAAGTTTCAAAGCTAAATCGAAATATAACTTAAGTCCATTACAATTGAAATAATGTTGGTTCTGAAAAGCTTCTTTGTGTTCACAACAATAGTTGCTGGAATAGCACCTCAAGCAAGGGGAAAGATCAAACTGTTGATGACAAATAAGACACGATCTTGCGAACAAGATCATGTGCTTTTCATAAGTCTCTAGATCACGTGTCAATTTCGACCTAACGAAAGTTTTTAATTCTTTTCTTGTCTTGATCCATTCTTCCTGGTTGAAACGAAATGTAACGTTGAAACGTGCTTTATATATATATTTAATACGTTGTAAACTTTTGCACATATCCATATGCTGGTCTTCGTATTTTTGTTGATGATGTTTGCTGCAGTAACGTATCATGTTGCACTTGCACTCTATGCGGATGAAAGTACTTTTACAAACATGACAAATATTAGGATTAAAGAAGTTATTACAATTTTTATAGGCTCTTTCTGGGTCTTCTTCTGAAGATGTATTCGCTGCAGATGTACTCGCTGCGCACATAGTGATGTTTCAGTGTAATTGAGAATTACAGAGAAGTTATATGTAATATTAATTTAGAATTAATATGCTAAACTCGATATTCTTAGGAAGGATTTATCTCAAATAACAAAATCCTGCATGTAGAGTTCAGATGTACACTTTGCGACTGCTGAAAGGACACTAACCCTAATCTATACAAAGGACTATATTTATAAGTGTCCTGTGTGTCCCAAGAAATGTTGTCAGAATTGTATCTGAGGATATAGGAAATACCAAGTAAAATGTCTCGTTTCAGCACACACGCATATGTAATTAATGTAATTCTTTATTAAAGATATTAATTATTTATTCATAGAAATAATAGATCTTATATATTATTTACAATAACGTAAAAAATAATATAGCAATCATATACAAGAGTTTGAAGTGGCTAAGAGAATGGCGTCTATTAATCAATTATGTTCATATATAGTTAAAAAAATAGTTATAAAAGAACATATAAACTGCTTTAATTCCTCTTCATGATCTACGCGATGCAAGTTTATTTTTATTACGATACGAAGGACATATATCGAAAATTTCTCGCAAGCTATTTATGTTCTCTGTTACTCGAAGCTGCTTCAATTAGACTGTTAAAAGCAATGGTTAGTTCTCATTTAGTAATGATAATATTAATTCCGACATTATTTGTCAACTCCTAAACTTCATTTAAGATCCTATAACCACATTTAGTCGCGCATACAACTCATTGTCCACATAATTATGGTACAATCAACGATGATATAATTGTGATACAACATATAATAATATTTAAAACCCAGAGAAAACTCCTATAAAGCTCGGTATTTTAATCTTCCGTGTAAAATTTATTTTGGAATTTACAATAAAATTTAAGTCCATTAGATTACAATGATGTTAAATTCCCATAACTTTGTTGAAAATCAACATTTTTAGGCACATTCTTCCGAAAAACTTCATTTATGAAATATTAGCGCAATAAAGGCTACAAACAAATTAGCGTAATTTTAAAATAAAAAGGAAGATAAGTGATCGTATATTCGTCCAGGTTTTACAGATCCAACATTCTAAACAAGGAGTTAATAATTTAACTAATTTTTACTCTAAAATAAGCTATATTGAGCTAGTCATACTTCTATTATTTGATAATAATACTTATATAGTATTTCGACGATTAGATTGAAGCTAATAACAGCTAACATTAGCTTTTTGCAATTGTAACTATGATGGTATTAAAATATTTCTACATGACAATAGCAGTTCTTGACTAATAATAGTCAAGGTAACTGTAAGTAAAATTGTCAAGCACGAATGTCGCGCCATGTATTTGTGCAAATTTATTGATTGATAACAAAATAAACGTCATTATATAAATATAATTACCTTTTGTATTGTTTCAGTACACGTGACATCATTTCTTAGACTTCACACAAATTTAATCTTTGGTTAGGTTTACTCATCCAAATTAGAAAAATAATAAATATTTCATTCCACATCCACAATTAAGAAGTATTTAATTACTATGTGATTTAAATATACAACAAACCACGACTGTTTATTAACAATAGAATGTCCTCAATAATTAGATATGGTATTCTTCACTGAATGTCTTTACTAATTTTAGTTTGTACCGTTGGAAAGAAAACCTTCTGATAAGAAGATTGGAATATACAAAATGTTATACTATGATTATTAACGAATTGATAGTATAAATAATGTAAAAGAGCAATCAGAAGAAATGTGTGGAATTAGGAAACATTTTTGCTATAAAGGCAATCACGAAAATAAAAACTGATGCGCAGTTTTCAATGTGTTTCTTTATAAAAAATATATCCTTTATTAAAAAAATCTACAACACATTTATCAGAACAGTAAATATATTACCTGATAAATTACATTTAAAATTTACAATGCTATTGTTATTGTTTACAATGTTATAGTCATTCTGATATTACATTTCTATTCAGCAAAACGACCACATCAAAGGATATAAGTTAAAAAAGATAGCTACATACTTATTACGGTAGAAAACAGAATCGTTGTCCACAAAATCTCTACATGGCATAGATGAGCTGAATTGATTTTCGTCATTATGTATTAAATTTAAAAATTCACCTAGAACTCTTTCTATGTTACTTATGTTTTGATCGGATTTAATTTTCGATTTAGCGGTTACAAGAAACGGACAGTCTTGATCTCGTAATTCTACAAGCGATGCTGACCACATTTCCACATCACTAAAATCTGTTTGAAATCCTAATATTATATTTGGCCGAATATAATATTCACTGTTTACATAAGTGTGGTACAACATACGGTGAGATTCGAAACTGAACTTTTTATGTATGGATTTGCATCTACAACAAACTTTGATATAATTTGTGATATAACATTCGTTGTTTAATTCCATACCTATCATAACAAGTTTTAAATGCTTTATTTCATCTAAAAGATGCAGGAGAATTTCCCATGCAGAGACATATTTTTTGTCAACTGAGCTTGCCGCTATTATATGTACAACACAGATAGAACTTTTTTCACCGAAGATATGTAACAGATTTGAATATTCCATTTTATAATACAATGTTAACGGTCCTGACACGTAATCAGAACAGTAATAGTCTTCCGCATCCCAAATATTTACATTCTTTTCTGTTCGTATATATTGTAGAATAAATGAATTCATGTCATCAACGGGTTTATCCTTGTCGGGAAACGTAACAAATTTGTTGTGATAAGTATAATTATGCGGAAGTTTACGAGCTAAAGTAAGACATAATGCAAGACCTTCGCAATTGGAATTATGCTGGTTTTGAAAAGCTTCTATGTGTTCATCGCAATAGTTGCTGGAATGACATGTCATGCAAGTTTTTAGACGCACCTGTTGATGACAAATAAGACACGATTTTGGAAACAAGATCATCTGCTTTTCATACGGTTTTAGATTACGTAGCAATTCGTGCTTAACTATCTTCATTAATTGTTTTCTTGACTCGATCCATTCCTTCTGGCTGAAACGACGTGTAGGATCGAAAAATTCGTTATAGTTGTCTAGAATACATCTTAGAGATTTGCACATATCCATATGCTGCTTTTCGTGCAACCGTTCATGATGCCTGTTGCAGTAAATGATCATACAGCACTTTCTACACGTTACGATGAAGTCAGTTACACTTTTACAAACATGGCAAATATTAGGATTATAGAACTCATCACAATCTCTATACTGTGTTGTTGTGTAACATTCTATAGATGTATTCGAAGCGCACATGGTTATGTTTGAGTGTAATTGATGATTACAGATAAGTTATTTGTAATATTAATTTAGAATTAATATGATGAACTTCGATATTTCTTAGGTAGAATTTGCGTCTCAAATAACAAAATGCTACATGGTTCAGACGTATACTTCGCGACTGCTCAGAGGACAGTAACCCTAACCAATACTAAGGACTATATTTATAATATAAGTGTACTGTGCGTCCCGTGAAATGTTGTCAGAATTGTGCCTAAGGATATAGGGAATCACGAATATTGGTTACCGAGTAGAATGTCTCGTTACAGCACACATGCATATATAATTAATGTATTCTTTATTAAAAGTATTAATTATTCATTCATAAAAAATAATAGGCCTTGTATATTATTTACGATAATATGAAAAATAATACTGTTATCGTATATAAGAGTTTGAAGTAGCTCAGAATGGTCTATTAATTAATTAAATTCCGCAATATATAGTTAAAAAAATTGTTATAAAAGAATATATAAACTGCTTTAATTTCGCTTCGTGATCTACGCGAAGTATGTTTATTTTCATTACAATGCAATGAAAGAACTTATAACGAAAATTGCTCACATGCTATTTATGTTCTGTGTTGGACTGAGTTGCTTCAATTCGACTGTTAAAAGCAACGGTTCGTTTTTATTTAGTAATGATAATATTAATTCCGGTATTATTTGTCAACTTCTATACTTCATTTAAGATCCTGTAATCATCTTTGGTCGCGTATACAACTCATTGTCCACATAACTATGATACAATCTACGAAATATAATTATGATACAACATATGATAACATTTAAATCCCAAAGGACACTCATATATAAATGCGATATTTTAATCTTCCGTGCACAAGTTATTTTGGAAAATAGAGTAACATTTATGTCTATTAAACTAGAGTAATTTTGAATTGTGTGTGTGCCATAACTTTGCTGAAAATCGATATCTTATGACACACTCTTTGTCTGATGCACAAAAAAACATTAGTTATAAAATACTAGCGCCGTAAAATCATGAAACAAATTCGCGTAAGTTTAAAATAAAAAGGAAGTTAATACGTGATCGATATTGTTCGTCCGAGTTTTATAGATGCAACATTCTATAAGAGCAAATAATTAACTTTTAATGTAAGATAAGCTATATTAAATATAAAGTCATAAAATAGTTCCATTTTTTAACAATAATACTCATACAGTATTTCGACATTTAGATTGAAGCTAATAAGAGGCAACAGCAGTTTCTTGTAATTGGAACTATGATGGTATTTAAAAATTTCTGCATGAAAGAAGCAGTACTTGACTGATAGTAATCCAAGCAACTGTAAATAGAATTGTCAAGCACGTCATGCATTAGTGTAAAGAGCCAGGCCAAGTCCCAGCGTTGCATGTTCCCCAAAATGGGGCGGTTAAATTTGGGGTCGTTATGGGAAAAGAAGTTGTAGATCTGGACAAGCTGAAAACGAAATAGTGCTTTTTACGTTGCATTGACACATCGTTCTCGAGATATCCGGTCCGGAAGTCCAGGTGACCAATTATGGATTTTTAAACTTTAATTTCTACAGATGACTGCCAAATGGTCATTTTAAGCCCTAAAAATGTGTTTAATAGCTTAAAATGAAGCTTAGTAGATTCTCTTAAAACAGTTTAAAAGCATTTTTTATTTGTCAGCTAAAATGGCCGAATGGAGGCGCTTCAAACGAGATACTTGAAAATTCATTTTTTCATTGGAGATTTTTCACTGATTTTCCACTTTTATCAATTTTTAAATTAAGAATAGGAATATATACTATAATCTCCATAATATTAGCTTTAAAATGATCCATAGATCATTAGAATCAGATAAGTTTTCGCTGAAATATCGCAATTTTTGCCGAGTAAAGTCAATGAATGTACTAAAGGTTTTTTGAAAGTCAATTTTAAATCTTTATAAATGACGATTTTTACGAAAAGCCATTTTAAATCAAATTGTCGCAGTCAAAAACAATTTATTGATATCTTCACGTCATTGTACATTGATAAATCAGTTTGGCAGCCATCTGTAGCAATTAAAGTATCTGTAGAAACTAAAAATCTAATCTGTAGAAATTAAAAATCCATAATTGGCCACCTGGATTTCCAGACCAGGTAACTCGAGAACGGTGTGTCAGTGCAACGTAAAAAGCACCATTTCGTTTTCAGCTCGTCCAGATCTACAACTTCTTCTCCCATGACGACCCCAAATTCAACCGCTCCATTTTGGGGAACATTTTGGTCGGGCTCTTTGCCGAATAATAACAAAGTAAACGCCATTGTATAAATATAAATACCTTTTGCATTGCTCCAGTGCATGTGATATCATTTCATAGATTTCACACAAACTTTTTTCTTGATTGGATTTTCCCGTTCACATAGAAAAATAATAAATATTTTATACTGCATCAATTTTTCAGAAGTATTTAATTACTATGTAATTCTATTTAAAAAAAGCAAAGAACTACGAATATTTATTAACAGTGGAATGTTATAAATAATTGGATATAGAATTCCTTAATGAAAATCTTTATTATACTTACAAGTAACTTCTTTAAAGTGATACACGCTGATTTTTTTCATCCTTTGAGGACTGATGTAGGAACTCAAAAGATGATAATTTATGTTAAAAAATAGTTCAATGATGTTTATACAAAATGTTCCAAATTTTCAATCATAAAAAGTATGATAAAATAACTCGCAAACAATGCATTTAAAGATAGATAAACCTATATATATATATATATATATATATATATATATATATATATATATAT